CTTTTGTCTGAGAAGAGCTGAACATAATTCATAGTACCTTTAAGTAAAATATATGTGTTCTTGTAAAGGATAAAAATCTATTCATTTTCTATGAATATGTTCCATTTTAATTCTGTTGTATAATTTGTCTAGAATGGGAAAAGAATCATAAATTATGAATTCTTATTCAAAGGTATTTCAGACTATTAAATATACTATTTCATACTACTAAAATTGTAATACTCAAGTTACACATTTGACTTTTCCAATTACAAGAGATACAAGATACCATATACAAAATAACAAATGTCTCTGGTATATATTGGGTATTGCAATTTTAATAGTCTTTTTCCTTTCTTAAAATGTGTATACATTTTTCTGGCACCCTCCATATTTTTAAAACAGGAAATGTTATTTCAAACAAATGATTTAGCTGAATGAAATGAACGTTCTTATAAGACTACTAGTATTCTATTCTCTTTCCTAGCATTTGCCTCAATTTTACCCATATGTAATTTAGTCTATCTAGTACTACTAGATTTCTATAACCAATGGATTGGCAACTCCAAGTTCAGAAAGAGAAACTCTGAAGCAAGAAAAGAACTAACCATGTTAAAAAGAATAGACACAGATGTTTTATATGTAATAAATCAAATATAAAAGAGAAAAGCAAGACAGATCTCCTTACATGTTGGTTCTATACTGATAAAAACCTGATTTAGAGTTGGTTCTCACCTATAGCAACGTGTTTTAAAGGCAAAATTGGACTAATGGCAGAATTTTATAAAAAACATTTTCCTACTTAAATATGTTTGGGTTAATGTATTGTTCAACTATTAACACCTGTCAATAGTTGACAGTGGTTTATATTTCATTTGATAATTTCCAAGAATGCAGTCCACGACATATACTACATAACAATTTCTTGTTTTTAAAAAATAGTAACAATATAAAATTTCTTGTATCTAGTGTAGCTGTTATATATTCCTTCTTAGGAATACATAACATACTACTTTATGCTTTAAAGTAGCATGATTTTTCTAAGTTTTAATAACTTTATAAGATACTCTGGAAAGTCTGGGTACTTGGTAGGAAATCATTTTTAATCCTGATAGCCTTACAAAGAAAAATCAGATGAACTACCTTTGGAAGTTCTCACCATAGAAACAATACATGTTTTGAAAATATTTTAAACTTATATACATCATTAACTTAGCTTGAAATACAAGAGGCATAACCAGAAAAGGTATTTAAAGGCAGTAACAACTGTCTTTTGAGAAGACCTGAATTATGCCAGCCATAGGTAAGATCATAACTTTTGTTACATCTAAAATGAAAATATGCCTTTTATAATATTGTTTACATAAATTGGTATATAAGGATGCCATCTGTAAATTAAAACCACACTTTGTATCTTTGGTAACTGGATTTCATCGATTCTTCAATAGGTAAATCTCTAAGAAATATAGAATGTTTCCTGAATACTTTATTATCTTTATATTGGTTCAACTTGTTAATTTTGTTTCAATCTTATATAATTCTCCAGAAAGCATAAGACAACCATAGTATAAACCACAGATATTGTATGTATACATCAACTGAATTCTCAAATGCATATAAATTTATATTACAGCTTGCTACAATGTTAATATGAGTAAATTCTTCAAGTTTGGTGCTCTTGGGTAATAAAACTAAAGCCATTTTTATCTTGTGGACTACACATGGAATTTTAAAAACCTGCAAAAATTAAAAAAAATCCCATTTGCACTAAATCCCCATTTTGAGAAAAATACCTTTAAAATTCATTTAGCATTA